ATATTTACTCCCCCATGTGCCTCTTCCCCTGATTTCTCAGTCAGGATCAATAGCACAACTATCAACCCATCCCCGCATGCCAGGCTGCTAGGGGTAACCGTGGATTTTGACCTATCCTTTCAGGCCCACATCAATCCCTGTCCAAATCATGCCACCTCAACCTCCGCAACATCTCCAGAATACGCCCCTTCTTAACCAATGATACCACAGAGCTACTAATTCACTCCCTGGTAATCTCTCGCCTGGACTACTGAAACTCCCTCCTAATTGGCTTACCTTTACATAGGCTATCCCCCCTCCAGTCCATCATGAACACTGCTGTCAGGCTTATCCACCTTACCAACCATTCAGTGTCTGCAACCCTCTCTTGCCAATCCCTCCACTGGCTTCCACTCGCACAATGAATATAATTCAAAATACTAACAACTTACAAAGCCATCCACAACTCTGCCCCCAGCTACATCACCAAACTGGTCTCAAAATATCAACCAAACCGCTCTCTTCGATCCTCCCAAGACCTTCTGCTCTCTAGTTCCCGTGTCATCTCCTCCCATGTTCACCTCCAGGACTTCTCCAGAGCTTCTCCCACCCTATGGAACTCTCTACCCCAATCTGTCCAACTAGGAGATCCTAATCTATCCACCTTTATATGATCCCTGAAAATCTCTCTCTTTAAAGAAGAATATCCTGCTTCTAATTAGTAAACTGCCTTTTATTTCCTCCATCAGATCATCCCCCACAGCTATTACCTTTTGTGTCACTCAAACCTTCCTCCTAGATTGTAAGTTCTAATGAGCATGGCCCTCTTTTTCCTCTTGTACCAAATTGTATTGTAACTGTAATGTCTACCTTCATTTTGTAAAGCACTGTGCAAACTGTTGGAGGTATATAAATCCTGTATAATAATAAAATAATAATACTAAACCCTCCTGGCAGTGAAAGAAAGCAGGGTCCCTATAAATTCAATAGGATAGCACATTACTATAATGTTCAACTTCCTGAGGTGTAAAGTTCTAACGTCTTCTGCTAGCAAGCGGTGGGGCCCTAGTTTGTAATAAAGTTTGAACAGGCTTGAATTAAATAGCAATCACTTGTTAGGATCTGGTCCATTTTTTTCTGTAAAGGGCAGGTTAACAGTGGAAGCTCCAAACAGCTATCCTCTAATATACAAAGAGGGAAGTGGTGTTTGCATGCAGTGTCTATACTGTGTTAAGTTGAATGTTGGGCTTGCACCCATTCACCAGTCCTCTGGGAGGTAACAGAACCAGAATCTGCAGTGGTGGTACAGGCTCCTGGCAGAGTAGGGTGGCACTGGATCACCTCCTGACAACCGATCAGGAAAGTAGGTAACAATACTTGCAAGGTGACTAGCAGCGGCTGACCCAATTCCTAGATGATACTGCAGTCCCTGGAATGTTGAGGGTCACCCAGCGGTACTGGGTGATGTTGGGCTGCCAAGCAAGATCACTGCACTGAGCAGTGGTGAGCTACGGCCTAGCCTTGAGGGGGGAAGAGACAGGCTCCCCTCTGTCCAGCTCCAACGCCAAGAAAAACTCCATCGTGGCTGTTGCAGGGAAATATATCGGCTTTCCCAAAATGCCCTTCCCCAGAAGGTTTCTTTCCTTCTGGTAAGTGTAGACCAGACAATGCTGAACAATACAGTGTAACTAGGATGTGGGACTACCAATCCCAAGATCCTCTGCTTGTCAGATACAGTTCCACCTCTGCTAACAGGAAACAATGTGATTGTTCTGAGCTGAATACTAGAAGGGAAGAAAGGGGATCTCAGTCTAGACTGCAGATGTCCCTGGATTGCGAAGTGACACAGCCTGGACTTGTTTACAAAGATAAAGAAGAAAAAGCGTGAGATCTAAAACTAATGAAGCCATCAATGAAGCTTTAATATTTTTTTTTTACATTCATATAACACTTAATCGAGCCTGAAGCTTGTGCACTACAGACGTTTCTGGAATACATGCACAATTCAAGCCAGCTCCAGGCAAACTATAAAAGAAAATAAGTCAGGACTCGATCTGTGCCCTCTGTGTCAGTTACTTAGAAAGTATTATATCCACTGTATCAGCATAACAAACATGAAACAACACTATTCAAAGAGTGAGAAATAGCATCCAACATGTTTTTTTCAATATAGGTTTCCTCTGATAATCTCAGAGATGCAGTGTGAGTCAACAGCACAGAATAACACTGGCAGCCTTGATGTGCTGTTCAACATCTTTTTGCTTTAAGTGAGTCAGGAGTAATGAGTAATTTGTAGAATGCATTGCTGCTGTAGGGTTCAATCTTCTCTCAAGTCCAACAGAAATCTGTAAAGGGAAGAAAAACAGTTACTTGTACAGTGCATTATCATGTAGCCAGTGCTATGTTAATAATATAGCATCCAAAAATGAAGGCTTTATACAACATTTAAAGCTAAACTCCAGACAAATAGAATAACACAGAGACAAATGACATATACTGTATGGGGGCTGTTTCACCTGAAAAAATATTGTACTTCTATGCAGCCAGGTTTGGGTCCTCCAGAGCAGCTACAACAGTGGTGTCCAACCTGCTGCTTGAGGGCTGCATGCAGTCCTTTGTCAATTTTTGTGTGGCCCTTGGGATCCCTGCAGACACAAATCTGTTTTTCCCTATTGCCTGTTATAGTAGTGATTTCTAGCAGTCTTGTGTGATATGTCTCCAGTCTATGACTGTCTTCTGAAGTTTGTCCCCAGTCTCCAACAACTTCTATAGCATGTTTACAGTTTCTGACAGTGTTCTGAAATGTGCCCGCAGTCTCTGACCATCTCTTGTATAATGTATGCAGTCTCTGACCATCTCTTGTATCATGTATGCAATCTCTGACCATCTCTTGTATTATGTCCACAGGTATTGACCATCTCTTGTATCATGTCTGCAATCACTGGCCATCGCTTGTAATATGTTTGTAGTCTCTGGCCATATCTTGTGTCATGTCTGCAATCTCTGACTATCTCTTGTATTATGTCCACAGTTTCTGACCATCTCTTGTATCATGTATGCAATCTTTGACCATCTCTTGTATCATGTCTGCAATCTCTGACCATCTCTTGTATCATGCCTGTAATCACTGTCCATCGCTTGTGCTGTGTCTGTAGTCCCTGACCATGTCTTGTATTATGTATGCAATCTCTGACCATCTCTTGTATCATGTCTGCAATCACTGTTCATCGCTTGTACTACGTTTGTAGTCTCTGACCATGTCTTGTATTATGTATGCAATCTCTGACCAGCTCTTGTATCATGTCTACAATCACTGTCCATCGCTTGTACTACGTTTGTAGTCTCTGACCATGTCTTGTATTATGTATGCAATCTCTGACCATCTCTTGTATCATGTCTACAATCACTGTCCATCGCTTGTACTACGTTTGTAGTCTCTGACCATGTCTTGTATTATGTATGCAATCTCTGACCAGCTCTTGTATCATGTCTACAATCACTGTCCATCGCTTGTACTACGTTTGTAGTCTCTGACCATGTCTTGTATTATGTATGCAATCTCTGACCATCTCTTGTATCATGTCTGCAATCACTGTCCATCGCTTGTACTATGTTTGTAGTCACTGACCATTCAAAAAAGGGGGGAAAAAGAAGGGGGAAAGGCATACAAATGGACTTTAAAGGCACAGAAACTCTAAACATATATTAGTAAAATCACTTTATTTTGACAATAAGTCATGAAAAAACATGTTTCACTTTAAAAAAATCATTGTACAGTGTCCCCGCAGACAGTGTCCCACAACCCACCATATTACATGGAACAAAACTAGTAATAAAGCATACAGTAACCACCAGGAAGGTCCTATGGGGGGTGAGAGACATTAAGCTGCTGGAAGAATGGCCCAACATATTTCGCGAGAACAATCGCTTTAATTTAAATAAATTCCTTAATAGCCACAAAGAATATAAATCCACTTTGTGTGGACAAAACACATTTGCAAACCTAGATATTACCCTATATAAGTAGCAGTAACAAAGGATTTACATTTTTTTTCCATTTAATGCTGAGATTTGAATAGCCCCATCACAGAGCACCGCCACTTTCCTACTCGCAGTTAACTACTTGCCAACCGCAGATAGCCGAATGACGGCTACACTGCGGCCGGCCAGTTCTGGGAGGGTGTCACATGACATCCTCCCAGAACGCGCTCTCCTGCGTGCCCCCGGGGGTGCGCACCCGGCGATCTGCATGATCGCTGTGTCCTACGGACACAGCTGATCACGTGATGTGGTAAAAGGCCAATCACAGCGGCCTTTTACCACGTGATCAGCCATGTCCAATGACACGCTGATCACCGGGAAATGCAATTGCCGGTTCTCGTCTGCACTTTCCTCACGCTGTCAGAGCGTGAGGAAAGTACTGCCGAAAAACGGCAGTTGTCAGAACAGGGATCGGCACCGATCATCGGGGCACTGATGATTAGTGTCCTGATGATCGGTGCCCAGCAGCGCCACCCACCAGTTCCGCCCACCTGTGCCCAGCAGTGCCACCCACTAGCTTTGCCCACCTGTTCCCAGCAGTGCACCCACCTGTGCCCAGCAGTGCCCCCACCTGTGCCCAGCAGTGCTCACCAGTACCACCCAGCAGTGCCACCTACCTGTGCCCAGAGGTGCCACCTACATGTGCCCAGCAGTGCCACCCACCTGTGCCCACCCACCTGTGCCCACCAGTGCCATCCACCTGTTCCCACCCACCTGTGCCCACCAGTGCCACCCACTTGTGCCCACCAGTGCCACCCACCAGTGATCATCAATGCAGCCCAGCAGTGCTGCCACCAGTCAGTGCCCAGCGGTTGTGCCAGTCAGTGCCCAGCAGTTGCGCCAGTCAATGCCTAGCAGTGCCACCAGTCAGTGCCCAGCAGTGATGCCAGTCAGTGCCACCTATCAGTGCTCTCTATCAGTACCCATCATCAGTGCCGCCTATCCGTGACACCTCATTTAGTGCTGCCTATCAGTGCCACCTATCCATGCCACCTCATTAATGCTGCCTATCAGTGCCCTTCATTGCTGCCTATCAGTGCCCATCAGTGCCGCCTATCAGTGCCAATTAGTGCTGCCTCATCAACGCACATCAGTGAAGGAGAAAAATTACCTGTTTGAAAAATGTTATAATAGAAACAAAGAAACTTTTTTTTTCAAACTTTTTGCACACTTTTTGTTTATAGCGCAAAAAGTAAAGTGCCCAGCGGCGATTAAATACCACCAAAAGAAAGCTCTATTTGTGAGAAAAAAAATGGTAAAAATTTCATATGGGTATAATCTTGCATGACCGCGCAATTGTCAATCAAAATGCGACAGCGCTGAAAGCTGAAAATTGGCCTGGTAAAGAAGGGGGTATAAGTGCCCGGTTGGCAAGTGGTTAAAGTGACACTAAACTCTGGTTTGAAAAAAAAAATCTATTCGAGTATGTATTCTTAACTCCAAAAATATCATCTATTTTTCTCCGTCTCCTCCAAATTCCTTTTTTTGTTGTTGCTGTGATCCTACCTCCTGTTAGAAGGTGGCTACAATCATTCTCCATACTTCCACTGCACATAGGAACATAGCCACCCTCCTTAGCTTGTTCCTGAGATGGGCTATGGACTATGATATTTGTAGTGTGCATAGAATAGTGCACATGACCACAACTAAAGTGTGCTGCTCATTCCAATCAAAAGGAAGTGAGGGGGAAAAGGAGAGATTCAGAGGATTTTACAAGGATTACAGAGCAATTAAGTAATTAATTTGTAAGGATGTTTTAAATAAAAACAAGGATATATTTTATTGTCACTTGGAGAAATACTTAGGTGCAATCTTCTCAGCCTGAGACGGGCAATGAAAGGGCAGCGGTAGGTTGATGAGATCATCTCTCCGCTCACTCTGCTCTCTCCTCCTGCCTTCCTTGTCAACATACAGCATTTGCATTCAGCGCACCTGATTGGTTCCCAACACTCAACCAGTCTAAATGTTGCTGTACATGCAATTGCAAAAAGTTGACAGCCTGTCAAATTTGGGTACTTACTGTACACTAGTTATATTTAAAAATACATGTAATGGTTTATGAAAGTGGTAGTTAAGTCTTTCAAACAAAAAAAACAAATTCTCCCTGCAAGGTAATGCCATCTGCGGTAGTATCAAAAGGTTTCGAGACTAGTTTTGTAGCAAGTTAGAACAAAGCGCAAATGTGAATTTCTACATGAAACTGGGCAAATCTGCCACAGAGCCATTTGACTTGATTCGACAAATGTACAGCGATGCTGCAATAAGTCAATCGAGGTGTAAGGTCAAAAATGCCCTCTTCCTGAAGATGAAGATCCAGCTCAAAGGTTGCTGTTTTCACAATATTGCGGAGATCCACTGATTTGTCCAGTTTGCAGAAGTTTGCGTTTACTCTTTGTTGTAACTTGTTGTCCATGATGAAATAGGAGACATGGTAACGCACATGGTCAGAAAAGCACCAGTTGCACAGCTCCCGATGTACACAGGACAATGTCTTTTGGCACACTGACTTTTGGTGCTCCCTGTGTGTGTGCAGATTGTGCTGCCATCTGTTAGCTTGTTACAAAACTAGTCTCAAAACTTTTTGATACTACCTTGTAATGTGCTAGTATGCACCGCATACCAGCACATTATGAAATACTTTACTACAAAACAGATTCCTCCAGCGGCACCTGTCGCCATTGACAGGGATTCCATCTTCACCCGGTCTTTTTTCTGGGTTCGTGGACTCTGGACACTGAATGGCTAAGCCGTGATGATGTTATTCCCACATAAACATGCGAGTGTCATGGCCCGCAGCACAGCTCTGTCAATGGATGGCATGCCATTCATTGTGAGCGCAGTAAGCATGCACCAGTGATGTCACCGGCCGCTATAGATGTGACTATCTCCTAAACAGTGCACATTTAGAAGATATTCACTGCACGTACAGGTAAGCTTTATTGTAAGCTTACCTGTAGGTCAAGGGCGGACTGACAACTCATGGGGCCCCCGAGCAATAGGGGATCATGGGGCCCCTGTGTCCTTGCCCAAACTCAAAAAAGCCTATGAAAAAGGTACCAGGGGTATCTCATGGGGCCCCCTACTGACCCCAGGCCCTCGGGCAGTGCCCGAGCTTCCAAATGGTCAGTCCGCCCCTGCTGTAGGTACAATCCAACGACAAACAAAACCAGCGCTCAAATCTTCATGCAGACAAAAGGGAATTCAGAATGCTAAACGAAGAGGTGCTGCCCTTCAAAGATCGGGAAATCTGGACACTGGTGAACAAAAGCAGACAAGGGCGCACTCTCATCATGCATTACCGTGGTACACCACGTGTTTATTGTGTAGAAAAATGGATATATACTCACAAACCAAAGGAAATTAAAAGCAGGATAAGTAGTTCGCAATTACAGTCAATGCAATACTGTGCCCTTAATAGGGATAATCTGATGCGTTTCGGGAGAAGAACCCCCTTCCTCAGAGCTAAAATGTATGCCTGCTGGTCCCAAGCCTATATACCAAAGAATGTCAAGGAAATGGTAAAAAGACCCTCCCACCCACTCCAAACGGCCCAATCCCAGAGAAGGTCGACGTGCCCACAAAAAAAAACAAAAAACAAAAAACAGGATGCCCAATTGTGGAGCTTGCACCAAAAAACAAAATGGTGTATATTAAAAACGTATACCTGAAAGAACAAAGCAGCACAAAACAACCAATAAAGTGCATACAATATATATATATATTGTATATATACACAGAGGCCACAGAAGACACCAACCAAATGCACTTGCAAAAAATTGTTCATGGAATGTGCTAAATATGTACCCACATGTACCCTCAAAAAGAGATAGCATGACTCTTGATGGATGGTCCTCATCCCAAATAAAACTGTCCCCAGTGAGAGACAGCAAGGATGCTGTGATGTCATAAATGATATACAATTATAGATGCATTACTATAATAGATGGTATATCTATTCCACATGATGTATAGTAGTGTAGTTGTATAATTAAACCAGTGCGGCGTCCGTACATCCGCCACGCTGGCATTGCGGACGTGACTGGCGTCATGTTGGAGTACACCTGCGTCCTGCACAGCGACCCATTCGCGCATGCGCGCCGCACAACACATGAACTGTGCATGCGCCGGGGAGCCTAACCGCCCGGACACTTACCTAGGACAGGTGTCAAAATGAGGGTGGATGGAGAGGAAGTATGGCTTCCTTAGTATGCTGGAAATGCATACTACTATTCAATGGGGAAATGTGACAATAGTTAATACATTGGATGTAATGCCCAAAAGAGATATTATAAGATGAAGATGGTGTATAAGATAAAAAATGTTATACATATATATATAGTATTATTAATAAAAATTATTTATATATAATAAGTGATAATAATGAGAAATGAGATATTAATAATAATAATAATATAATAATAATAATAATAATAAATAATTATTAAATCATAATAAAAAATAATAATAATAAAAAGGGGCAAATGGATGACCAATGTGGACAAAAATACATAAATCAAGCTGTGGAAAGAGCAGGGCCCTCGATCCCCTCATGTTTTGCATTGTATTGGTATTGTTCTGTCACATGTTCTGTCCCCCTTTGTAATGTACAGCGCTGAGTGAACTATTGGCGCTTTATAAATACTGTATAATAATAAAATAATAATAATAAAATCGATTGAAAAAAATGTATATAAAAAAAAATAAAAAAATGGAAATAAAACAAAGGAAAAAAAAAATGTAAAAAATGAATAAATAATAATTGAATAATAAAACATGAATGAATGAAAAATATATTATAAAAAAAAGTGTTTTTAATTAAACATTTATGAAAAATAATAATAGAAGAATAAAATATTTGGAAAATGCAAATATGACACCCTCCAATTGGATATAAGCTGGGCCAGCAGGGACACAAACATAAATAATACAAAGTCTAAATGACAATAAAAAGATTGAATGTCTATAATGTAAAAAATTGTATACAAATGTGTATAAATATATATATAAATAAAGAAATTCTAATATACACTGGCATAGGTGATGACGTTGAATCGCAAGGTCTCCTGGGATGCCGTGCCTTGTATCCCAGGAGTCCTTTGAGTTTGTAGTATCGCGGTGCTTCGAAACCAGAAATGACACGAATAGGAGAAGTTTGGCGCCATTACACCGGAGTCCTGTGTGTGGAAGACGTGGATGCTGTGTGCTGTGGACTGCGCTGTTCTCTAAAGCTGGAATTGCAGAGTGTGTGTACATCGCACTCTGTCTAGTTAATTTGGGCACTTTGGTAACTGTCTTTTGTCTGGGCAATCAACTTTTAATCTGACGTGGTCACTCTTGATGGGCTAACTTTCTGTAGTTTAGTTACGGTCATGGTGACACTGGCTGTTTTCATAGATATATATATAGCTGTATTTCAGACACAACAAACTGGAAACGTGCTAAATTGATGTTCTCTTAAAATTAACATGCAATATTATGGTTGCGGGGCTTGCTTCGCTTCGAGACTTCACTTTCCTTCCCCGTGGAGTGAATTGATGTACAAGTTGCCATAAGGGGGCGGAAACTTCCGCCATCCCCGCCGTTGTTATGCAACCTGTAGTACACAAGTTGCGCCGAGCAGTGTCAGTACTGTGCAGGTGTGAGATCGAGTGGTGCATGCTGGGATGGCCAGCAGCACCAATTCCAGGAAGCAAAGACTTGCGGGCTTCAGTTGCCCACAGCCATCATGGTGCCTGCCTGCTTCCAAGATCCTGGTAAAGTTTAACTTATTTTAAAATGCTAATTTTATTTACAATGCTATTACTAATTACTCCAATTGTTAATGCTAAAGTAAAGGAAATCGTGGATCTGCGTTTGAAAAACATTTATTCTGGTGACTGGAGCTCTGCTTTAAGCCTGGGTTCACACTGATGCGTTGCGCAATTTTGCACCGGTTTCTGTGTGAATTCTGCACCGCATCATAATCACACCAGTGGTGTTTTTAGGTTTCGTGCTGCCCTAGGCAACACACAATTTGCCCCCCACGGAGAGACCCTGACACCGACCAACACCTCCCTTCCCCATGAAG